TTTTTTTCTTATATACTTTTGCGCTCAAAGTTTCTAAAAAAAACGGGTGCGACAATTGGCACTGTGTTCGAACCGTAGGTCCGATTCGCATGCAATTTGCACTGTTGGACTCTTTGGAGGAAGCACTAGACGGCCTGCAAGTCTCATGGCCGTAGCCCAAATACAGGGCCGGCACCAAGTCGGAATGCAATTAGGCCTATTTCGCTTCGTTTTTTTCTTATATACTTTTGCGCTCAAAGTTTCTAAAAAAAGCGGGTGCGACAATTGGCACTGTGTTCGAACCGTAGGTCCGATTCGCTTGCAATTTGCACTGTTGGACTCTTTGGAGGTAGCACTAGACGGCCTGCAAGTCTCATGGCCGTAGCCCAAATACAGGGCCGGCACCAAGTCGGAATGCAATTAGACCTATTTCGCTTCGTTTTTTTCTTATATACTTTTGCGCTCAAAGTTTCTAAAAAAAGCGGGTGCGACAATTGGCACTGTGTTCGAACCGTAGGTCCGATTCGCTTGCAATTTGCACTGTTGGACTCTTTGGAGGTAGCACTAGACGGCCTGCAAGTCTCATGGCCGTAGCCCAAATACAGGGCCGGCACCAAGTCGGAATGCAATTAGGCCTATTTCGCTTCGTTTTTTTCTTATATACTTTTGCGCTCAAAGTTTCTAAAAAAAGCGGGTGCGACAATTGGCACTGTGTTCGAACCGTAGGTCCGATTCGCTTGCAATTTGCACTGTTGGACTCTTTGGAGGAAGCACTAGACGGCCTGCAAGTCTCATGGCCGTAGCCCAAATACAGGGCCGGCACCAAGTCGGAATGCAATTAGGCCTATTTCGCTTCGTTTTTTTCTTATATACTTTTGCGCTCAAAGTTTCTAAAAAAAGCGGGTGCGACAATTGGCACTGTGTTCGAACCGTAGGTCCGATTCGCTTGCAATTTGCACTGTTGGACTCTTTGGAGGAAGCACTAGACGGCCTGCAAGTCTCATGGCCGTAGCCCAAATACAGGGCCGGCACCAAGTCGGAATGCAATTAGGCCTATTTCGCTTCGTTTTTTTCTTATATACTTTTGCGCTCAAAGTTTCTAAAAAAACAGTGCAAATTGCAAGCGAATCGGACCTACGGTTCGAACACAGTGCCAATTGTCGCACCCGCTTCTATAAGTGTCTAAATTTAAATATAGATGTATTTTTAAAGTGTTTTTTTTAAGAATTTGCCAAGTTTTATATATTTAAGACAGCATATACTACTATAAATTGAAGATTAGGGGTAATATATTTATACAGGTTCATTCATAATTTTCAGGTTTTATAAAAATAAAACTGATTTTTATTACATGTTTTTGTTACTGAATTTTATTAAGTAATTTTACCAGATTATTATTTTCGATTACTTTTTAAAACCTTTGTTAAAAAGATATGTCTGTAGTAACTTATGCAGTAGCAAAATGTAAGCTACTTTAAGTATTAACGTTCATTTTGTAATGCATATCCTGTCCTTGTTGTTTTAACTTTTTCGACATTCACAGTTTAGAAAGCAAAACAATAGCCATGGTATAATGTTTTTGATATATAATAATACAGCTTGATAAAGGCATTGATAGACTGTTTGCTTTTACACAAATGTTTAAAGTGTATAAAGCTGTATTTTTAATCAAAATATTAAGTGTAATTTTGAAACAGAAGAATCATGATAATGTATATGTGTGTATATCCCAAAATAACTATAATAAAGAAATATGTTTGTATATTTTTCATAAGAGCGAAAAGTGTATAGATTTATTAGTAAAAGTCCTACCTAAAGTGGCAGAATACTACCTTCTTCCGGCACATTTAATTCTGTTTATTCTGTTGATATTTAGTATTCATGTGTAGACATTTTATCTTGGTTTATACAGAATTTATTTTAGTTCGATTGTGTAGGAAGCTATAAGCTTATAGACACACTTTCGAATCCGTTCATGGAACCAACCAGTACTGAGCAATGAGTGTAAAGTTTCTTGCTCAAAGAAAAGCAATTTGCCCCTGACGGGGTTTGAACCCATGCGGCTAGCGATCAATAGATTACTAGCCCGAAGCGTTAACCACTCGGCCATGCCGCCATTTTATCTTATAACTGTTTCAACATTCTACCATATGATTATGTAAACACAACAATTGTTCTGAACATAAATTCTTTAAAAATAGTCCATAAGATATAATTACTTAATACTCTTTGAAAACCTTGCTCGTTTTGTTATGCGTAATATATTTATTCAGTTTATTTTTCACTGCCTTTCATATCTGTGTACCATATTTTATTCATAAGAATATTTATACTATAATTATATATTCAGTGTGATGCATGTGAAATCGTTTATGCCATTCTTTTAAAAATATTTTGTTCAACATATCTTATTTTATTTGTGTTTAAAATCATATCAAAGCTCATACCGGGATTGTTTCTTTCAAATAATTACTACGGAACGACGATTATTCTGTAACCAATCACATTATGAATTGTATTGATCACTTTATAATAAAGAAACATGCAACAAAATCAAATTAGCAGGCATTCATAAGTCAGGACTATGTAAATGTCAAGGAATACCTCAATTACATGTCTACATTGAAATACTTTTTAGGGTCGCGGTGAAATGTACACACTATATTAATTTCTTCCCATTTTGCGAAATGTTAATATATGCCATTTTCAAACACGATGTAGAGTTTGACAGCATTTCAAGTTGTTTTTCTTATATGTCTTATGTTTTAGAAGAGCAGTGAATTTCGTTTCTGTGTTGTTATTTTGTTATTTTTATTTCGTGATTTATTTTACTACTCTTTATATTTATGTACATGAAGTATGTTTGTAATGTCTGTATTATAGACAAAGTAAAGGATTGTTAAGTTTAATATCATTAGTTTAATAAATCAGAAATATATCGTATAAAAATGTCATATTCAGTTTCATTTACTCTGTGACATCATCTTGCACAACAAAGCAGACTTGCTATTATCTCACACATGTAAGTACAGCATTTTAGTACAGCATTAGGAAATACAGTAATATATCACTTTTAGCTTGTAGTTGAATGACAACTGCACAAATGACATAAGACGTGTTGTTTAATGTTATTGCGCTATACTAGAAAGAGACGGTTACTTAATATCTCATTACTATCTGGTTTCTTTAAATGTCTTTACTTACCAAAATAAACACAATACAAAGTATGCTCCAGATGTTCAGATGTTGAATTCATTAAGTTGTAAAATTGATCGAACGAAATCAAGAATGTTAAACTTGCAAATATTTACCAAAATAACTTAACTTCTAGGTTTCGTGAGCACTGCACCAGGTAGTAAATAATCAAAGAAAAGCAAATCAATTAATTTATTGGGAGTTTACTTTAGAATCTGTTATTGACCGATGAATAATGTTCAATTTCACGCAAATATTTTTATTTTTTAAAAAAAACTTGTTATCTACATCGAAACATAGAATAAATGAAACACAAAAAGAAAATTTCATAGGTAATAGTACATAGTTATGTTGAACTATTTAATACGAGGTTGGGTTAATATTTAATGCAATTTGATCATTAGATAAAGAAAAGAGCAAATATTTTACAATTTTCTATTTCAAACATTCGATATAATCTCCTACAAAAATGCCCAGTCCATTTCTAGTCTTCTTGCGAAGACCTGAAAGATGCGTTTATTTTCAGTCTAGGACAGAGGAAAAATTAATAGTGTGTCTAGTCTGGTCTGGAGAATACAGTGAATGTTTCAGGAGAGTCACCCGGTTTTCAAGGGAAAAAATTATCGTGGCTCCTTTGTGTGTAGGAGTGTTGTCATGTACAACACTAAGCCTTTGTTTCCAGTCGAAGGGCGAACTTTATTGAAGTGGTTTTCATTTTTCCTTAAGACTAAACATGTACATCTCTTCATACTTTGATGTGACAGAACAGCCTCTAGTTATTAGAATTTCACAAACGTACATGACTTTGACAATCGCTTAAAAATGTATGATCGACATATTTGGTGGCCCAAATCTTATTGTAACACTTGCGAACTGGCGTAAAATAGTTAAACCAGCTTAAAGGAGATCACTTGTGCCAAGGTATTTAAAAAATATTCAGCAGTTTTAAAGTTATTGAGCGGACACGAAAGTGACTTTCCAGATCCTTTTGATATGCCTGCGATATCGGCTATCTGGGTAAAATAAAGTACATACATTGCATCTTTATCAATGATAAGCTTGACTTTTTGCATGTTTTTATCAGTTACTATGGAGCGTTTTTTTCTTTGATTAACTCGAGCCAATTTTTGAACTTCTTCATCTATCTCGAAACGGTTGCATATGATATTTTATAGTTACACAAATAATATAAATAACACTATTAACATTTATAGCAGATTTATTTTAGTTATGCCCGAGCTTTTATGTAAAAACGTATTTCAGCACTTTTAACTTTAACCATTTTTACATGACGTTGCTCATGTCAGGTTTTTTTTAAATGTGAATAAGATTATGAATCGGTACACTACACACATGATTTTAGTATTTTTTGAACGCAGATGTTTTAAAAAATAGCATAGTTGACACACGAAGAACAATCACGAGCTTAATTAGAAAAAATAGTTTATTTTGCCCACCATCATAATTGAGTACATTCTAAAAGTCAAACGGAAAAAGCAAATGGTATATTTAAAAAATGATACTGATTCGTCTTGCTATGAAACAGATAGGCTAAGATGAAAGACTTAAATTCAGTTTAACAAAATTAAAAAAGATGGTCAACCTAACAAATGTTCAATTTCTTCATCCGTCATGAAGAGAAGTACATATATATATTGTGCATAATAAGATAATTTATAATGGACATAGGACACTATTGATGTTATTAAACAGTGTTAGTTCTCAATCAAAGAGTATACAATTTCAAATGCAATGAAGAAATGATTCAATTAGGTCGTCTACTAACGTTTCAAAGTAATCTTCATTCAATATTTATACAGTACGAGACCCCCTAAAAATAAACACATCCAAGTAAAACTCAATTTTGAATATACAGTGTCCAGACAGGAGAACTTTAAAAACGTTACATTCAGATTGTGCAGAAAGAAAACAAGTGGGTCCAATTGCTTTCTGGTTCAGTCCTTTTACCTAATATATTTACTTTATGTCCCTTAGCACCTGTTGTAATTTTGCCTGTGAACATTGTTCCATTCTTCTCAAAGTATGTATGGTCTATCATAATCTGTTGCAACACAGGTGATGAGATGCGAAACTGAATTTCGGTTTTTGAAGGCAATCTACGATTCAAAGGCTCGTGTAGCAAACATTTTTCAACGAAAGTTCCTCTATAAACAGTTGGATATTCATGATTCTTGTCCGTTACTTTTGTACATTTGAAATTATATCGCATCAAATGTGAACAACCTTCATTTGTTGTATCCAAAAAAGATTTACCAAATATGTCCAATGTATACATACCTGGTTTTCGAGGATGAACAAGAATTTTGAAAAGACCATTTTCCTGATAACAAAACGTCGCATTCTCCTGTACTTTTTGTCCATATTCAAGCATTAATCTTGAATTTATGTAAATGTCTTCATTTCCAGTACTATGCAGTGTCATCTGCAATTCATCCCTCATTTCAAAATATGCCTTTTTGTGACTGACTGGCAGCACACCTAGTTTAAAAGCTTGTGGACTATACTTCACGTTACTGCTAAACTTTTCGAGACTTATAGGTTTAGATAGCAATTGCCATTTCTGACTTTCTTCGATGTTGTTATCCATGTATGGGAAATGATCAGAAACAAATTCTTTTGGATCTGTAAGGAAGTAGAACTCATCAAATGCTTTTTTGAAATATTTTTTTTCCCATTCAACGTAGCCAGCTCCCCAAGTACAATCTAAAAGGTGCCATTTTCCTTCAAGTTGAACAGCATTCCAGGCATGATCTGTGTTTTGCTTAAAGGAAATTGGTTCAGATGGAGAATAGCCGAAACCTTTTGAGAAACCAGATATCGTCTTAACAGGAATCGCAGCATCCCTATCAAAATTAAAGTAGAACTACATGAAAATAAATCAAAGTCATAACTAGTTTAAAACATTTTTGTGTACTCCTGAATGGTTGAATAACACGTGGTTTGCCCTGTATTCTCATAATTCTTTCCAGAGATGCTAAAGACTTCTATTTGAGCAAGCTTACCTAAACAGCGTACGTTTGTTTCTAAAATAATGCAAACATAAAGTGTTTAAGTGCCGTAACGTCCATTTAAAAATCCTAATAACAGTGACGGGTTCATACTTCCAAAATGAATGCCCCTTTAGCCTCATGCTATTCTTAATTTAGATGTCTAAATGTTAAGAAAATTATTTTACATGTATTTATGATAGTTATCTAGTTTGAATTTAAGAAAATCAATACTAATCCATTCTTATTTAAACAAAGATAAACCTGCACAACAGCTCGAATGCTCTTGCATAACCCGCACAGACACTTTTACCACATGTTAACACTGATTGTCCATCACATGGCGCCATAGATGATCTTCCAAGATACCCATTGACATCATATCTGCTCAAGAATGGTGACATTAAATATAGATACTCAACAAAAATGTAGGTTCTTCATACAAATTAAAGAAAGTTATGGACAACAGGTAGATATTAGTATCTACAGTGGTAATACGTTATAGTGTGTTAACAATTATCTCAAAAGCCTTTAGGGGTACATGTATTTAGAACCTACACAATAATTAACATTTGTATCATAGTTTGGAGACCTTTCTTTTGAAAATGTGTCACATTTAAATCGTATACATTACATGTACAGTGTGTTAACTGGAGTGCAGGTATTAGTTACCCGCACTCCAGAGCATATCCATTTTTGCTGGGGTTTACTTATTGTGACGGAAGAGAAAGGGAAAGTGACAGAAATATCAGATTCAGATGCCCGTTCATTGGCTACTTTTTCCCGGGGTTTCATATTATGACAACAGGGAACGTGTTTTAATGTTTGACTGTAATACAAAAGAGAAAGAACACCAAAAGACTCGGCAATCTGATTAATACTCGGGGGCTACGCTCCCTCGTACAAATCAGATAGCCTCGTGTTTCGGTGCTCTTTCTACTACATAGAAAACGTTTTGCGGAAAATAACTTTCTATGGTATTCTACAATTAAAAAATATTAATTTTAACTAAGCAATCTTAACTGAAAATACATTTTTTGTATTCTTTTGATAACAAAAAGTATTTTAAAAATATCTTTAACGAATTGATAATAACAAACTAAGATGAAAATTGGCATGTCTGATTTTTAAGCGCTTACCTTATGTTTTCTGAAATCCAGACAAAAATCCCTCGGACAATCATTCTTGTATCTTTAGAAAAGGATGAGAAATAAGTTACCAGGTCTGTAGAATTCCGCATACCTTTAGGTGCCTATAAAAGTAAGGAGGAAATTTTTTAAAAAACATACCGTTGTGAAAGCATACAATTCTGAAACCATTTTTCCTACATAAATAACATCATCTTTGAAGCTATCTACTACTCGTACATCGCAAACGAATACATAGCACCGTTTTGTGATCAATATCTTGTTTTTCTAATTGAATGAGAAAATGGTAGAAAAAGTGTAAAATTTTACATTACAAGTTTAGAAACCATTTGTAATTATACACATCTAACTAATTTATTTTGAAATTATATTTTATTAATTAACACAACAAACCTTCCTAGCATGCTCATCTATTTTCCAGTATCCATTTTTTTCATTGTTATCTTGCTTATTGATGCTGGTATCTGTTTCAATTTCGTTTTGACTTTCAACGTTTTCCTGAACATGAACGTTATTTGATTTAGAATTTCCGCTACTGTTCTCTTTCACCTGACAAGAGATTTAGTTTACTACATTTCTTAATCAATTATACCCTTTTTAGAATGGAAAGTTAGCACTTCTTTTTCATTATACTATGGTTATATTCATGAATATATAGTGTACTCAACAATAAATGTATTAATCTTACGAATATTATATATTCGAGTGTGTTGAATTAAGAATTTACCAGTGCCAACAATGAAGTTTAGAAAAGATACTAAACATGTTAATAAATCTTGTGATCAAAGTAGAACAGTTAAAAGATAATCAACATTGTAGATATTGTAAGTCGGTACCTGAAAGATTTCAATGCCGTTTACACAATGACCATCTATATTCCTATCAAATATCTTCAACCAAACATACCGGTACATTAATCACAATAAATTTATAATGTCATAAACTGTACTAATTTAGTAGTAAAATATCATTATGAATTTGCAATTAAAATAAACCCTGAGATAATCATTGGACAAAAACAATGTAATGACAAATGCTGCTCATATTGAATACTTAAAGGTATTGATTATAAATTGATGGCACATTTTCATTTCCTTGTATTGCAACTTTTTAAAACAAAGCAACTTACCATTTCAGCATGTTGATTTATTTTCTGGTTGCCATTCGTTTCTTTAAGATTGTTTTGTCTTTTGATATTAACCGTGTCAGTTTCTTTTTCATGACTGTTTTTCTCTGGAACAAGAGCAATATCTGGCTTTGAACTTCCGCAACCCATCTCTATCACCTGATATGGAAAAAGAATAGGAAATATAAATTTTGGAATTAGTTTTCTTAGCCCAGATTTACTTCTCAACATGGATTGGTGATCATCAACTCAATTTCAATGCAGTTAGGATCGTGAATGCATTTTGTCCAATTGTATTATTATGACTTGACGTTGGAGCTCAATTTTTACAAAGTATAGTAGTATGCATTTTTCATGCAATGTCGTAATGGGGAAATTTCTTTTAGGAATATAGTGTTTACATAAATATAGCTGATGACATTACTTAAACGCTGCATGCCTCCAGATGATAGAAGAAAATCTACCCTTGTACAAATGTTTCAAAACCTCTCTTAAAATACATAAAATGACTAAAAGAAATCTAAATGTCGCTTTAAAATTATCATATTGCGACAACTTAGCTTTTCCTTCATCGGGAAACACTTTCTTTCATTTTACTACGAAATTCTTTCATAAGGATCATTTCTAGTACCACGTTGTGGCAGAGGACAATACTGGGATCCGTGATCGGTATGCACTAAAAAAAGTTTTATATCAATTTTAAGCATTATTTTGCGAAAAGTGTTGTTGCAATATAGATCATTGCTTCACATCTTACAAAATACATGTATTACCAATGCATTATCAGCATTTGTTCCACGCGATATTCCAATAGAAATCATCATTGGATCCAACCTTATTTATTTAGCCTCGTCTTCATTTTTAGTCCAAAAGTCCATATCAAATCTATATAACACAATTTATAGCCTTATTTTTATTTACAGAGTTAAAAAGGTTCATATTAAATCCATATCACATCCCATATAGCTTAGTTTATATTTCTAGAGTCCAAAAGGTTCATATCAAATCCATATCACTACCCCATTCAGCCTCGTTTTCATTTAGAGAGCCAAAATCCATATCAAATCCATCTTGTAATTGAAGTTTTGTAAAAATGGTGGTGTCAAATAAAAACTTCATTTAACACGGTTGGACATATTGGACTAGTAGACATCTGCAAATCCTATATCAGAACCGGCTGGCGCCTCGTCCATTATTGCACACAGTACAATACAATAAATCAATGTATAATAAAGTCATATTATTGGAATAAGTCTTGTCAAAATAGTCCTTATTTTTCGAGTCAAAAAGATTTCATGTTAAAAGCATATTGTACACTTTCCATTCTCGTTTTTAATTTTCAGAGTCCAAAAGCCCTATGCCATATACGAAATGTACTTGGAAAAACTTTATCTTTATTAAAATGCAAAATGCACTGTTGATTTTTTGTTGATAAAGCATATTGAAGAGACACAAATAAGATTTTTTTGGTTTGATTTTGTTTGACGTCGCACCAACACAGTAAACACGGTTGGAAACCCATGTGGATATCAAAATTGAATATCGGTTAATAATATGAGCCGCGTCACGACAAAACCAACACAGTGCGTTTGCCCAGACCAGCCTGTGCATCCTCGCAGTCTGATCAGGATCCATGCTGTTCGCTATCAGTTTCTCTACTTGTAATAGGGTTGGTAAGCGAACAGCATGGATCCTGATCAGATTGCGCGGATGCGCAGGCTGATCTGGATCCATGCTGGTCGAAAACGCACTATGTTGGTTTTATCGTTACGCGGCTCATATGTTAAAGGAAAAAAAGGTCAATTACTGGGTAAATTTTCAACTTGTTGAATATTTATGAACATTCAAAGCTCTTTTATAAGAAATCGGAATATAATTCTACCCTCCTGACTTTCTTCTGTGTATGCCTAGTTTTGTTTTGTATTTTTATGCCGTCTTTGTCGACATATTCTTTCCGTCATAGGTTCTGGTGAGTCCAAAATATGCAATGCGTATGACGAAAATGTCACTTAACAGACTCAAAATACAGAGTTGTTACGAAATCTTACCACCGATTGATGCTTACCATACAAACAAAACCCTTATTTAAACATTTATTGTCATTTGACTCAAAATAAACGAATCGCAGGTCAAAATTCAAGTCGGGCTTCATATGTGCTGAAGAGGTCCAAAGGTGATATAGAAAAACCATCTACAAAACTACGGATCAATTCCATATAAACAGTAAATAGGAATCTAAATAAACAGTTATGGTTTCGTAGCTTTGGCTGAAGACAATTTATAAAATTAATATGTTTGGTAATTAAATATTACTACATTAAAAGGCTAACTATATTGATGCGGTTATCCTTGTTAAATAATTAATTTTCCTTTGAGGATACGTATCTTGAACAAGCCAAACTGTAATATATTAAACAGCTTACAAATGAAAGTGATCAAATCTTTGTAAAACGATCGTATTATATGATGTTTTCCAATGCATTATTTTAATGTACATGGTAATTCATCACTTCAAAAGTTTACAAGTATATTCAATCACAGGCTCAAGTATTTTCCTGTTGATTGTCATGAAATGAATTGCTAGTTAACCTCTTCATTAAAATTTTCCTCACTCTCGTGTCGAGTAAACAACGCGAAATCAAATGAATATTGGTATGAAAATGGTAAATAAACAATCATGAACTACAACTTATTTATAATTTTGAAAACAAACTGCATTTGTTTTATAAACGTAATTGTTTATAATTAACACATCATTGTATCGATAAGATATACTTTTATTTGTATTGATTAATATTGATATGGGTGAGCTGAATAGAAGTACGTTAAATACTAGTCGATATAATGTTTCAGTTTGTTTTTTTTGTACGATATTCACTTACTATTTTACATAATAAAGGTACTCTATGGTCGCGGTGACCCGTGCCAAATACTTATATTGTTTTTATGTGTGAAATAACTGGAAATATTTCTAATGTGACAAGTGCGCCTTTTTACTTCTTCAAACTTCATTTATAACTCTACGCCTGCGTGGACGTTTTAATCCCACAAAAGCTATAATCAATATATCTAGAATGGTGAATGTCTTTTAACTCTTTCTTAATGGATAGTGTTTTTCAAACTCGACTTTGAAAAATCTGTCTATTTCGGATATAAGTAATGTGTTAATTACAAAATAATACACAAAAGAATAAAACATCGATTGCTTTATGGAATTAATCCATAATTATGTTGATGGTTTATGTTAATATCGAGCACCTATGGATCTCTTAAGCACATATGGAACTTGAATGTAATTTTGACCGGCAATTCCTTCGTTTTGAGCCAAATATCAATACATTGTCAATAAGGGTGTGTTTGAATGTTAAGCATCGTCCGGTGGTAAGATTTCGTAAAGAAACTCTGTATTTTGAGTCCGTTAGTGACGTTTTCTTCATACACATTGCATGCTTTAGAAACATCAGAACCCACGACGAAAAAAATTATTCGTCGAAGACTGCATAAAAATCGAAAACAAAACGTGTATATATAGAGGCAGTCTGGAGGGTAGAATCATATTCAGTGTTGCATCAGTACTAAGAGTTGTGTACTTAAGTACCAGTACCAGTACTTACCAAGTTATGCAGTAACCGTACCAGGACTAGATTTTAGCTCGGTACTGCAGTACCAGTACTTTTTTAGGGAAGTAATTAAGTATAAATACCATTACTTTTATATATTTATCAAAATTTGAATAAATACACCTGTGTCAAACAAAATAATTGCAAGCATTATTCAGCAAAGAAATAAAATAATAATTTACTTTAAACTTAACATTACCTTTTTCAACTTAAATGATTTAACATACTTTTTACAAACAATATTTATAAAATATATTCATGTCATATCTTATTGTTTAGAAACACAATGCAATCATCTTTCATTTCAAACACAAAAGTCTTTTGTTGCCTTTCACACCTTCACACCTCTATTCAATTTATACCAAAGTAAGTAACAGTTTTTTATGGTGCTAACAATATCACTTGAAATTGGATAATTTAGAAAAGAATAAATTAATAAGTGTTCATATATTTTGCTGTTTTATACAAGTAAATACAAAAGTAATAAAAGATTGTAATAAGGATATTTTAAGGTTAAGAGACATTTAGTCTGTTTATCTCAATTTACTTTTTACTTCAAGTCTTTGGTGCTTCTTTTTATGATGAATACTATGTTAACATCTGAAGGAGTATTACAGCAAATTATCTACAGATTTGATAACTTACTTTTTCACAAAAATAAAATAATACATGGAATTTTCATTTTTATCAAAACCAAAGTACTGCCTTGTAATGAATTAGTAACGATTCGCCACACTAACGATTCGCCACATAACAATTCGCCACAGAGTTATAACGATTCGCCACAGTTAAATAACGATTCGCCACAGTATGATTATAACAATGATATTTTAATTATCAACAAACTTTTTTCTTTTTTTAATAATTTGACAATGACAATAATTTAATAAGGTTTCTTAATACAAGTAATATGAAGTTAATTAAAAGGCCCTCATCGCGGATTTTTTATCAAAGTAACGTACATTATTACAGGAGTACATTTATAAGAAAGTAATTATATGTTGAAATAAATTTTGAATTAAATAATCGTAAACATATATGTCAATTTATATTATATATATAAATATATATGTCAAATATTAAAAAATGGGTATTGCAAAAACATGTGTTCATTACGAAAATTGATTTACGATAATTGATTAAAGAACGCACATCTAAAACATTTGTCACACCTTTAATTTAAACAAGCCAATCATCTTAGGATTGTTGTAAAAATATTTAATTGACGCTGAAATAATCCTTTAATTCTCTGACAATGCATGTGAACAACTGCACGATTGGATACTACTACATGTAGTTTTTGTCACTTTGATAATAAAAAAAAGATATTATAAAAAATATTTTTGTATTTTTTGGGCTATAGAAATAACAAAATGTTTTGTCATTTTGGTAATAAAATATGTTTTTATGTGTTTCTATTAAATAACAGCTGATTTAGTATAGTATTCTTTTCCAGGTTTACATATTTACACTGTGTATGTATATTTTAAGATAAAATAGGTTTGTTATCACGTGTCTTTATTCAATAAAAGCTGTTTTTCGTATAATTTTCCAGTTTACATAAATAACGAAGTTTAACTTATCTACAATATGTGTAATGTAATTTTGGTAATAACATATTAGGTTTTCATGTGTTTTTATTCAATAAAAGCTGTTTTAGATATAACTAATTTATGTCATTAACCACAGATATGCATACTCATATTCAACTCCGTGCATAAACAAAGGAAATATAGAATGGAAAAAAAGTTTTCCATCAACCGTTTGAAAGCAGCACGACTCCAAATTCATGCAAATTTTCAGGAACATTTTAAAAATGTTTTAATAAGTAAATTTAAATATTGTCAAGTGAATAAAGAAAATAATGTTCACGTTGATTACAGTATATATCTTTTATTGTTCTTATAAATCATAGAACTGTTTCTCTTGAAATAGTTGGATTCATCTGGAGGCATGCAGCTTTGAAAACAGGTGAGAAAAAGTTCGTATTTGAACACGTGGCGAATCGTTATTTAACTGTGGCGAATCGTTATTACTCCGTGTCGAATCGTTATGTGGCGAATCGTTAGTGTGGCGAATCGTTACATTACCCTTGTAATCCAGTAGCAGTACCATTTTTAAAGACAGTTATGCAGTACCAGTAGTAGCAACATTTTGTAAGAGTAATTCAGTATCAGTACCAGTACATGCGAATCTCGGCAGTACCAGTAATGCAGCTCTCATCACATTTCAATTTTCTTTAAAAAGATTTTGAATTTTACATTAATGTTTAAAAAGTTGAAAAATTACCCTATAATTATCCATTTTTCTTTGTCACATATAGTGTTATAGTGCATATCTGGATCAGCGGAAATTCATATATACTTTTTACCAATGCTCAATTTTGAGATCCATATGAGTTTCTAGCTCGTGGTATAGGTTATAAGGCGATTTTCCTGCTTTACTGATGGAGGAAGACCTCAGGTGCCCATCTGTGCGTTATTTCAGGGACAAACGGACAGCTGCGTAGAACCAACGACGTTCCGTTAGCTAGCTTTATATACAATCCGAAATCGCCTGCGCAGTTCGTACCTACAACGGTGAAAGATAAGTGGTTTAAAGTCAACGACAGCGCACTCGCCCCAAAAAGAAATCTTCTGGACGGTAAAAACCATTGAATTTAAGCATGTCTGGCCTCGTTGAATACCAATGTGCTATAATTATGTATTCCGATGGTAGGATACTACGTCATCGCACACCTGCAAAGTGACTTTTTAGTAACATAACGTCGCCTCGAAGGTTACATAATTATGTTTTTATTCTACGAAATCGTTAGAATATCAAAAACAATAATGTAGCGCATCAAAGATTGGCTTTAGTACTTATTATGATTTTAAAAGCTGTTTATAGTGTCAGTGCCTAGTTTAGTACTGAACACGGGATAAAGTTTTTGTTATCTAAATGCTCCCACTCGGACTCTCAAACAATATCTATCCCGTTTTCAGGCTTAAGCCAGACAGTAAAACTTTAAACTGATAAAAAATATATATCAAGTATAAAAGCCAATCTTTGGTGCGCTACACTATTTTTGATAATCTAGCGATTTCTTAGAATAAAAAAATAATTTTTATCTTCGATTCGACAACAAAACAGTCCGAATGGAAGCATTTCGCAGGTGCGTGATGACGTAGTATCCTACATTTGGATCCTAATCACAGAGTATTTCAGAATTGAAATTAAATAAAAATTAAAGTTACAACATACACTCACCACTTTTTCCACGTCATTATATGTAACACTTTAACACTGAGACTTACGTTAAAATATGCCAGACAATCATGTTACTTACTTGTATATAATCCAAATCATTCCCCGAACGTAAAATTTGTTACAAAGAATGATTTACAACGTTAGACTGGTATACTATTCGTTTGAGATACCGATACAATTTTGGTATTTTGATAACTATTAATTGGCATGTCATTTAATGTTTAAGAAAATAAATATTGGGTTATTTCATTGAATATAAAGAAACTCTATTGTGCATAGATTCTTACATGACTTATCAGATTAGTGGACTAAAATAAGTATTTCACTACTACATATTTGTTAATAAAATAACAATTGTTTTTTGATAACTCTATTGTTGTTTAAGTAGTGATCTATCAATGGTTCTCTGTTGTTTATTAATCCTATTTATACTACAGAAAGATATTTTCACTTATTTATTTATGACAGCATTATACTGAAATTTTCTTCCAATATAGGCTTAGTAATCAAACAGAAAACACAATGCTTTAATTATCCGTATATTATGGTGGCGAGAAATTGTATCGTTTTATCATAAAATGTCGCGGGTAACTTACAAACCCGTCAGATTTTCTTCCGAAATTGTACAAAATGTCTTGGGGAACGTATAAACCTCGATATCTTATTACAGTAGGAACATTTTGACCGGTAACGTCCATGGTTTGACTTTACATTTATTATGGAATCGTGTATCGTGCATCCTGTTGACGCGTTCAAGTAGTGAGAGAAAAATCCGTAAAAGTATTGTAGAAATTATACAAAAAGTCGAGGGGAAAAATTATAGCCGCGATTTTTTGTTCATACACAACGGTTTCATAAGAAAATATCGCGACATGTAAAAGCAATTTTAGCCGAGGCATTTCATGGCATAATTCGAGGCTTTATACCCATACTCGACATTTTAAAATGCATGACTCAAAAATTATATCTTGGATTATAATGGCCGCAATCGGCTATCTAAAGTATGCATATGTTTGCGTAACTTAGTCTACTATGTAGCCAGAAAATGGCGCGGTTTCCCTCGTAAAATTCTACCTCTTACGACAGAAGTGTGACTGAAACCTCAGTCCTCATGATCGCACTAAATGTACGCCCCTTAATTAACGTTTCCGTATGTGACAGAAAAACTTGAGAGTTTCTATAAGCCGCGACATTTTACAATTTCGACACAAAATCACACTGATTACTGACTGCAAAAATTCTCGCGGCTTTTTTTAGTAAATGAAAACATTTTATTATAATTCAGAACAACCAGATTTATAACAAGTGGAATGTAATAAAACGCCTCGGTAGATATTGATATTATTGTCATATCTGGAGAGAGTTTACCAAACCGTGAATTCGTCACCTTAATTAATATTATATAATTTAACAGAAGTTATCCCGTTACTATGGTGGCTGTTTTACGCCATGTCGTATTTTCGTTTCTTCGACTCCAAATGCGTTTATACGAAAACACAAAAACACGAAGGGACGACAAAGTTGGACTTTGTCGTCTCTTCGTGTTTCCGGTTTTTCGGATTTGCAAAGCAACAAAGCGAAAATACGATAGAAAGATGGCGAAAATACGACAGATAAAATCTGTCGTATATTCGCATTCTATTTGTCGTATCTTCGCATTTTCTCTCTTTTTCGCATTGTTACATTTTCGCCTTATTACATTTTCGCATTTCGGTTGCACTTGCGCATGGAGACATCAATAAATTATTATTATTATTATTATTATTGTTATTATTATTATTATTATTATTATTATTATTATTATTATTATTATTATTATTAAGTTTTGTAATGTCTCAACACAATGATATATTATTTAATAAATAGTCATATAAAAAATAATTATTATTATGTTGTATTCACGTAGATGTATAATTTAAAAGTATCATCCCGCCTCTTACACATGTAAATTAATTAAATAATATAACGGTAAGGTTTTCAGACTTTTTGAATCAATAAATGCAACAATTATTATAACAAATACATACATTAATATGTACCATCTTCAGATTATCGGTTTATTTTTTTTTTTAATATTTACCGCTGATAGATGTGACATGAGAATTAACGATAAAGTAAGTTATAGTCTTTCATCTTTATCAACAATAAGCTTGACTTTTTGCATGTTTTTGGCAGTTACTTCTTCATCTACCTCGAAATAATAAAATATCACTATAAACATGTTTAGTAGATTTTCTAGTTATCATCGAGCTTTTATGTAAACCCGTATTTCAGCACTTTTAACGAAACCATATTTTGCATGAAGTTGCTCATGCTATGATTTCTTATATGTGAATATCATTCTTAATCGGTACACTACACACATGATTTTAGTATCATTTGAACGCAGATGTTTTGAAACATCACAACATAGTTTACACACACGCACACACAACATTAGCAAAAATACTTCAATTTGCCCACCATCATAGTTAAGTACATTCTCAAAGTCAAACGGAGTAAGCAAATTGCATATTTAAAAAAATTGATACTGATTACTTTTATGAAACAGACAGGCTAAGATGAATGACTTAAATTCCGTTAGACAAAAACAAAAAATGAATCAACCTAAAAAATGTACAATTTCTTCATCTGTCATGAATATAAATAGTTATGTATATAATTTATAAAGGAACTATGACGCTATTGATGTTTTAAAGAGTGTTAGGTCTCAATCAAAGAGTATACATTTTCAAATGCAATGAAGAAATGTTTTTATAAGGTCGTCTTTTTACGTTTCAAAGTACTCGTAATTTTTCACTGAAGATACTAATACAGTACGAGACCCACTAAAATATACTTATCCAAGTAAAAGGCACTGTTGAATATACAGTGTCCCGACAGTAGTACTTAAAAACGCTACATTCAAATTGTGCAGAAAGAAAACAAGGCGGTCCACTTGCGTTCAGTCTTTTTACCAAATATATTTACTTCATTCCCTTTATCACCTGTTGTAATTTTGCCAGTGAACATTGTTCCATTCTTCTCAAAATGTTTATGGTCTATCATAATGTGTTGCAAATAAGGTGATGAGATGCGAAACTGAATTTCAGTTTTTGCAGGCAATCTACCAATAAGAGGCTCATGTAGCAAGCATTTATCAACGAAAGTTCTTTTATAAACATTTGGATATTCATGATTTTTGTCCGTTACTTTTGTACAGTTGAATTTGTATCCCATCAAATGTGAACTACCTTCATTTGTTGTATCCAACAAATGTTTACCAAATATGTCCAATGTATACAATCCTGGTTTTTGAGGATAAACAAGAATTTTGTATACACCATTTTCCTGATAACAAAATGTCGCATTCTTCTGTACATTTTGTCCATCTTCAAACATTAATCTTGAATTTATGTAAATGTCTTTATTTCCAGTACAATGGAATGTCATCTGCAATTCATCCTCCATTTCAAAATATGCCTTTTTGTGACTGACTGGCAGCACACCTAGTTTAAAAGCTTGTTGACTATACTTCACGTTACTACTAAACTCTTCGAGACTTACAGGTTTAGATAACAATTGCCATTTCTGACTTTCTTCGATGTTGTTTTCCATGTATGGGAAATGATTAGAAACAAATTCATTTGGATCTGTAAGGAAGTAGAACTCATTGAAAACTTTTTTGAAATCTTTTGTTTCCCTTTCAACGTGGCCAGCTCCCCATGTACAATCTATAAGGTGCCATTTTCCTTCAAGTTGAACAGCATTCCAGGCATGATTTGTTTTTTGCTCAAATGTAATTGGTTCAGATGGAGAATAGCTGAAACCTTTTGCGAAACCAGATATCTTCTTAACAGGAATCCCAGCGTCCCTATCAAAGTTAAAATTTAACTACATGAAAATAATTCAAAGCCATAACTAGTTCAACTCCTGAATGATTGAATAACAGACTGTTTTAAGATCGCTATCTTGAAGGTTTCTTCTCCATATTTTTAACTGTGTTCTAATAATTATTTCCAGAGACGCTAAAGACTTCTATTTTAGCAAGCTTACCTAAAAAGCGTACGTTAGTTTCTAAAATAATGCATATATAAATTTAAGTGCCTCTACTTCAATTTGAAAATCCTAATAGCATTTTAGCTCGTTCACACGGCCAAATTAAACGTCCCTTTAGCTTAATGCTTTTCTTAATTTCAATATCTTAATTTTTACATGTATCTATGATAGTAATGTAGTTCGAATTTAAGAAAATCAAAAAAAATCCATTTCTTATTTCCAAAAAAAAAACCAACCTGCACAACAGCTCGAATGCTCTTGCATAACCAGCACAGACACTTTTTCCACATGTTAACACTGATTGTCCATCACATGGCGCCTTTGATGATCTTCCAAAATACCCATCTACATCATATCTGCTCAAGAATAGGGACATCATAAGATACAGTCCATTAGACACTCAACAATAATGTAGGATTTAAAAACAGTTATAATTCTTTAATTAAGGAGGATATGCAAATATTCAACAAAAGATAAGGTTCTACAGTGATAATTCTTTATAATTCATTGACAAATAACGCAAAAGCCTCAAAGGGGCATTTGGAACCTATTACACAATATGTACCATAAAGAACACGTTTTGCGGAAAATAAGTGTTGTTCTACCATGGAATATTAATAGAATTTAACTAAGCAATCTTAACTGAAAATACATTTTTGTATTCTTTTGATTACAGACAGCATATAAAAAAAATTTCCTCGATATGATAATTACAAACTAAGATGAAAATTGACATGTCGGATTTTTTAAGTGCTTACCTTATGTTTTCTGAAATCCAGACATAAAAACCTCGGACAATCATTCTTGAATCTTTAGAAACGGATGAGAAATAAGTCACTATGTCTGGAGAATTCCGCATGTCTTTAGGCGCCTTTAAAAGTATAAAGGAAATTAAAAAAAATCATACAGTTATGATAGCAAACTATTGTGAAACCATTTTCCCTACTTTGAATAACATCATCTTTGAGGTTATCTACTACATCGCAAACGAATACATATTACCGTTTTGTGATCAATATCTTATGTTTCTAATTGAATAAGAAAATGCTAGAAAAAGTGTAAAATTTTACATTACAAGTTTTGAAACCATTTGTAATTATACACATCTAACTAATTTATTTTGCAATAACATTTTATTCATTAACACAACAAACCTTCCTAGCATGCTCATCTATTTTCCAGTATCCATTTCTTTCTTTGTTATTTTGCCATTTGCTTTGAACAGGGGCAATATCTGGCTTTGAACTTCCGCAACCCATCTCTATCACCTGATGTGGAAAAAGAATAGGAAATATAAATTTGAAATTTGTCTTCTTAGTCCAGATTTACTTCTCAGCATGGATTGATAATCATCCACTCAATTTCAATGCAGTTAGGATCATGAATGCATTTTGCCCCATTGTATTATTATGACTTGACATTGGAGCTCAATTTTTACAAAGTATAGTACATGCAGTATGCATTTTTCATGCAATGTCGTAATGGGGAAGTTTCTTTCAGGAATTAAGTGTTTACACAAATATAGCTGATGAAATAACTTAAACACTGCATGCCTTCAGATGTAAGAAGAAAATCCACCGTTTTATAATACTAATGTTTCATAATCTCTCTTAAAATACATAAATTGATTGAAAGAAATCTAAATGTCGCTTTAAAATCATCATATTGTGACAACTTTGCTTTTCCTTCATCGGGAAATACTTGCTCTCATTGTACTACGAAATTCTCTCATAAGGATTATTTCTAGTACCACGTTGTGATAGAGGACAATACAGGGATCCATGCACTAAAAAAAAAGTTTTATATCAATTTCAAGCATTATTTTGCAAAAGGTGTTGTTGCAATATAAATCATTGCTTCACACCTTACAAAATACATGTATTACCAATGCATTATCAGAATTTGTTCCACGCGATATTCCAATAGATTTCATCATTGGATCCAATCTTATTAATTTAGCCTCGTCTTCATTTTTAGTCCAAAAATCCATATCAAATCTATATCACAACATTTATAGCCTCATTTTTATTTACAGAGTTGAAAAAGGTTCATATTAAATCCATATCACATCCCATATAGCTTCGTTTAAATTTCTAGAGTCCAAAAGGTTCATATCAAATCCATATCACATTCCCATTTAGCCTCGTTTTCATTTTAAGAGATCCCAAAATCCATATCAAATCCATCTTGTAATTAAGTAAGTTCAAGTAACAAAGTTTTGTAAAAATGGTGGTGTCAAATAAAAACTTCATTAAACATGGTTGGACATATTGGACTGGTAGACATCTGCAAATCCTATATCAGACTCGGCTATCGCCACGTCCATTATTGCACACAATACAATACAATACATCAATCTATAATAATGTCATATTATTGGAACAAGTCTTGTCAAAATAACCCTTATTTTTCGAATAAAAAAGAATTCATATTAAATGCATATTGTACACTTTCTATTCCCGTTTTTAATTTTCAGAGTCCAAAAGCCCTATGTCATATACGAAATGTACTTGGAAAAACTTTATCTTTATTAAAATGCAAAAAAAAAACACTGTTGATTTTTTGTTGATAAAGCATATTGAAGTGACACAAACAAGATTGTTTTTTGGCTTGATTTTGTTTGACGTCGCACCAACACAGTAAACACGGTTGGAAACCCATGTGGATATCAAAATTGAGTATCGGTAAATAATATGAGCCGCGTCACGACAAAACCAACATAGTGCGTTTGCGACCAGCCTGTGCATCCTCGCAGTCTGATCAGGATCCATGCTGTTCGCTATCAGTTTCTCTACTTGTAATAGGGTTGGTAAGCGAACAGCATGGATCCTGATCAGATTGCGCGGATGCGCAGGCCGATCTGGATCCATGCTGGTCGAAAACACACTATGTTGGTTTTGTCGTGACGCGGCTCATATGTTAAAGAAAAAATAGGTCAATTACTGGGTAAGTTTTCAACTTGTTGAATATTTATGTACAATCAAAGCTTTTTATAAGAAAACGGAATATAATTCTATCCTCCTGACTTTTTTCTGTGTATTCCTATTTTTGTTTTGGATTTTTATGCAGTCTTTGTCGACATATTCTTTCCGTCGTAGGTTCTGATGTGTCCAAAATATGCAATGCGTATGACGAAAATGTCACTTAACAGACTCAAAATACAGAGTTGTTACGAAATCTTATCACCGAATTATGCTTAATATACAAACAAAACCCTTATTAAAACATTTATCGTGATTTGACTCAAAATAAACGAATCGCAGGTCAAAATTCAAGTCGGGCTTCATATGTGCTGAAGAGATCCAAAGGTGATATAGAAAAACCATCTACAAAACTACGGATCAATTCCATATAAACAGTAAATAGGAATCTAAATAAACTGTTAAGGTTTCGTAGCTTTGGCTGAAGACAATTAATAAAATTAATATGTTTGATAATTAAATGTTACTACATTAAAAGGCTTACTATATTGATGCAGTTATCCTTTTGAATAAATAATTTTCCTTTGAGGATACGTATCTTGAACAAGCCAAACTGTAATATATTAAACAGCTTACAAATGATAGTGACCAAATCTTTGTAAAACGATCGTATTATATGATGTTTTCCAAGGCATTATTTTAATTTACATGGTTATTCATCACTTCAAAAGTTCACAAGTATATTCAATCACAGGCTCAAGTTTTTTCCTGTTGATTAAAATTTTCCTCACTCTCGTGTCGAGTAAACAACGCGAAATCAAATGAATATTACTATGAAAATGGTAAATAAACAATCATGAACTTCAATTTATGTATAATTTTGAAAGCAAACTGCAATTGTTTTATAAACGTAATTGTTTATAATTAACACATCAATCTATCGATAAGATATACTTTTATTTGTATTGATTAAAATTGATATGGGTGAGCTGAATAGAAGTAACGTGTAATGCTAGTCGATATTATGTTTCCGGGGTTTTTTTTGTACGATATTCACTTACTATTTTACAAAATAAAGGTACTCCATTGCCGCAATGACCCGTACTAAATACTAATATTGTTTTTATGTGTGAAATAACTTGAAATATTTTTAATGTGACAAGTGCGCATTTTTACTTCTTCAAACTTCATTTATAACTCTACGCCTGCGTGAACGTTTTAATCCCACAAAAGCTATAATCGATACTGGTTTGGGAGATAAACTCGGCCGAAAATCAGTGTTTTGGGGGCATATTTCATTTATTTGTTTACGTATTCTGATGAATCTTGCACCAAAATAAACTTCAGCTCTTCGATTTTCCGGTATCACCATAAAAGTTATATTTAGAAACATAACAGGTAATTTTGACAGGCCCTGGAAGAGGTACGTAAAAAGGATATTTTTAACGCCCGTGAGTAGATAATTCCGGCTCTTTGTTTTTCTTCTTAAATAAGTAAGTTAAAACGTAAAATAACATGTTTAGACATTTTATTATTTCTTTGCTGTTCATTTATAAATGTCAAATAAATAAATATTTGTTACCAAAATTGTTGAGCATTAAGTTAGTATAATGAATATCTATGATAACACGATATTTATATGCAACGCACTATGTAACATATAAATCATGTTTACGTAAAAACACATGCATTATCATTAACGTATAAAGAAATATGGAGTAAAAGAATTAGTGATTCAAATTTATTTATGCTTAGCATAACAGAGTGAAGAAGAAATTAATTTAGTGGTATTCAACCTACACATTAACGTATAAAAGGAGCATTTAACATCAGTCTTTCAATCAATTCCACTTAAAGATTACAATTGTGTAATCAGACTTTTTTAGTTAGCAAGACAAAAGTGAGTCTGAATTTCATCTACAAAATGTATACGTAAACGCCGTCTGCTTTACCGGTAGTCGGTCAATATATAAAAGTACCCCTGTGTGGGCCTCAAAATGAGCATCTGCTGCACATGCGCACAAAAATGGGATTCCCGTACTTTTTATAGGCATGTTTTGTAAACAAACGGGTAAAAGTCTGTGAATTTTTTATATCTTACCAAACTTGACAAAATTTCCAGATTTTGTCGAATTCAAGGGATAGTATGAGATGGTGAGCTTGATTAGATTAAAAATTCCGATAAAAATTTCGATAACTCGATTTAATTATATAAAGCCGAGTTTATCAACCAGCCGAAGTTATCTCCCCAACCAGTATATTTAGTATGGTGAATGTCTTTTATTTCTTTCTTAATGGATGGTGTTTTTCAAACTCGACTTTGAAAAATCTGTCTATTTCGGATATAAGTAATGTGTTAATTACAAAATAATACATAAAAGAAATAAAACATCGATTGCTTTATGGAATTAATCCGTAATTATGTTGATGGTTTATGTTTTCATGCACCTATGGATCTCTTCAGCACATATGGAGCTCGAATGGAATTTTGACTTACAATTCCTTCGTTTTGAGCCAAAAATCAATACATTGTCAATAAGGTTTTTTTAATGTTAAACATCGTCCGGTGGTAAGATTACGTAGAAAAACTCTGTATTTTGTGACCGTTTAGTTTTCTTCATAAACATTGCATGCTTTAGAAACACAAGAACCCACCACGGAAAAAAATATTTCGACGAAGACTGCATAAAAACAATATGTGTATATATAGAGGGCAGTCAGAAGGGTAGAATCACATTCAATTTTCTTTCATAGGGCTTTGAATTTACATAAATCTTTAAAAAGGTTGAAAAATTGCCCTATAAAGACTATAATTGACCTTTTTTATTTTATGGTGTTATAGTGAAATCTGGATCAGCGGAAATCCACATTTACTTTTTACCGATGCTCAATTTTGATATTATGTGGGGTTCCACCCTCGTGGTATACTTTACAAGGCGATTTTCCAGCTTGACTGATGGTTGAATAACTCAGGTGCCCATCTGTGTGTTATTTCAGGCACAAACGGGCACCTGGTTAGAACCACCGACGTTCCGCTAGCTAGCTGGATATTTGTCTCATATTAAACAATCCAAAACGCTTGCGCAGCTAAAATCTACAACGGTGAAAGATAATTGGTTTAAAGCCAACGACCACAATGCACCCGCCCTCATTTGGGGGGGGGGGGCTCCGTGGTTGAGTGGTTAAGGTCGCTGACTTGAGATCACAGGTCCCTCACCGCTGTAGGTTCGATCCTCACTCGGGTCGAAATCTTTCATGCGAGGAAGCCATCCAGCTGGCTTATGGAAGGTCGGTGGTTCTACCCAGGTGCCCGCTCGTGCCTGAAATAATGCCCGGAGGGGCACCTGGGGTCTTCCTATAAAAGCGGGGGAAAAATCGACGAAAAAAATCTCGGCGGGACGCTCTAGGATGGCCCGACTTGAGTGTATGGTCGCCCATATGGGCTTTCCGGCGGCGACCTTAAATAAACGCATTAAAAAACCGCCCTCAATAGCAATCTTCTGGACGGTAAAAAATCATTGAGTTTAACAATGTCTGATCTCTTTTAAAGGGATATATGTGCTATATGGATTCTACTCAAAGAGAATTTCAGAATTGAAATTGAATAAAAAAAACAAAGTTGTTAAACTTACAACATACACTCACCGTGTCACTGATTCCACAATAATAAATGAAACACTTTAACACTGACACTTAGATCAAAATATGCCAGACAATCATGTTACTTACTTGTATAATCCAAATTATTCCCCGAATATCTATCTTAATTCACAAAACAAAACAAACAAAAAAACACAGGAAAAACTTTTGATAGAAAGATTGATTTTCAACGTTAAACTGGTATACTGTTCTTTGAGATACCGATACAAATTTGGCATTTTAATTACTATTTATTGGTATGTCATTTAATGACTCTGTTTAAGAAAATAAATATTGGGTGTTTTTATTGAATATAAAGAAATACTATTGTGCATATATTCTTATATGACTATAAACTGTCAAATTCGTATTATCAGAATTACCAGGTAAGTGGTTTACAATAAGTATTTCACTACTACATATTTGTTAA